TATTATCATTATGAGGAACTACAATACTAAATTCTTCATCTACATCTTCATATGTATCTCTGTAATTTTTGGGAGGTGTCTTGAACACAATAGACATTTATTGATCGAGCGGGTCTGTCACGTAAAATACTTGTTGTGCTTGTGAGGCCAATATGAAGGGATCACCTTTATGGCCTAATCTTTTTAGTTCAACTAGTGTGTACCCCAATTTATCCCTTTTTACCCCATTTCTCTTGTCAACCCAGTCACACATGAAAATTGGAATTCGTTTAAAATGATAATCTAGTACCCATATCTCTTGTAAAACACCATAATAAGTGTTTTTGGCATATATTACAACTTCTTTACTGATGTGTGTGTCAGTTGCAACGACACTAACCCCACTGTTTTGGTAAACTTTACCTTCACGAGCTTTTGTACGAAAAGTATATCCATTGATAGCATATACATCGTATTTAATAATGTTCTTATTGGGTCCATGTGAAATCCATCTCATTGTCTCTGTTATACTTTCTCTACAGCCCCTAACTCTCTCTACCTGAATTGTAATTAGATAATGAATTTAAGATATAAAGAAATACATAACAAAGAACACAACATATATGAAATGAATATACCTCCTTTCGTAACCAATGACCAAATGTATTACTGTGCTCTTGTTCTAGCTGTGCCTTTCGTTTAGTAGGGTGTTGATGTTTCAAAAATTCCATGTGTCGTCTGTCAATACGTTAATGTTAATATTATAACAAAAAAAACATACATGTAAAAAAACTTACTTGATATATGGGAGTACTTCAGATGTATTTTGCAATACAAAGAAATGTGCTTTGCTGAATAGTTCTGCAGAAACTTCTACCGATTTAGCAGCTGATAGAGGAGTACCGTCCGTAATAGAACTACTATCTACACCTTTCTAAATTCCACATGTGTTATGATTGTCAGGTGGAATACCAACAATATCCATCTTTTTGAGGAATTCACTAAAAAACTCAATCGTCTCTTCTGCAACATTCTCTTCTGCAATGCATCATTCTGGTATATTTTTGTTTCGCACGTGCCCCTTAATAACCTTCATAAACCTTTTTGAACGGGTACATCCATCTAAAGAATATTGGACCGCATAATTTTACTTCCCTAGTTAGATGAACGGTTAAATGAATCATCACATCAAAAAATGATGGTGGAAAGTGTTTCTCAAGAAGACATAAGGTTACACATAACTCCTCTTGCAACTTATCGAGCTCATCCAGTTTGATTTCTTTGCTACATATTTATTTGAAAAAGAAACAAAACCTTGTAATAGCAACTCTGGTGGGTGGATTCATAATAGATTGAATTGCTATGGGCAAAAATTGTTGCATGAGCATGTGATAGTCATGTGATTTTAGTCCGATCAACTTCCTATCCTTCAGACTCACCAAACTAGAAAAATTAGAACAATACCCTTGAGGAACCCTTAAGTTGTATAAAGTCTCACAGAATTTGTCTTTTTCCTCTTTTGTCAATGTACAACCTGCTGCGGGAAGTGTTGTGTTGTTCCCTTCTACCTTAGGATGCAGCTCTGGTTTTAAACCATAATTAACCAAATCTAATCGAGCTTTATAACCATCTTTCGTCTTCCCGGGAACGTTCAACACAGTTCCGGTTAAACTCTCGCCCACGTTCTTTTCGACATGCATAAAATCTATACAATGTGGAATCAAATTGTCGCGCCAATACCTTAGCTGTCTATACCATATATTGAATTTCTTCCAGTATGTATTATTTTGCTGGCCCACATTTGAAGTACCCACTTGGCGTGATTTTCTCTTTTTTTTATTAATCTTCCCACCTCTTCCAGTTGTAGATTGTTGGATTTCTGCCTCTTTGCCCTTAGACACCTTTCCCCATTTATTAATTATAAATTTGACCCTGTTATATACTTCCTCCCCATTCATAGGTTCTGGAGAGGGTGAGAACTCTTGTTGTCCATTGAATGCTTTTTTTGTCTTCTGAACGGGTGATCATACGGTATAAATCGTCTATGACCAGTATAACTCTGCTTATTCGATTCAGGGAGTCTAATGCAGTGTGTTTCTTTGCCACACACAACAGAACCTTGAAATCCACTGTATGGACAACCACTTAATGTACCTAGAGCAGGATAATCATTAATAGTCCATAACACTACTGCACGTAGTTTAAACTGCTCTTGTGCATATGCATCGTATGTTTCAACTCCAATATCAAATAATAATTGCATATCATCAATAAAAGGTGCTAGGAACACATCAATATCGTTTCCTGGTGTTCCCGAAATCAATAACGAAAGCATGATGAACTTTCTCTTCATACACAACCATGGTGGAAGGTTGTAAATGACAGTTAAAATAGGCCACACACTATGATTCCTATTTCCTCTATTCACATCGACCCCGTCAGCCGAAATGCCTAGCCGCAAATTTCTTGGTTCGCTAGCAAAGTCAGGATATTTGTCATCAATGGCAGCCCATGCCGGTGAATCAGGTGGGTGACTTAAAACACCAATATCCACCTTTCTGTCTGTTGCGTGCCATGTTAAATCTTTTGCAGTAGTCTAAGACTTAAAAAGTCGTTTCAAGCGCGGAATAATTGGAAAGTACCACAAAACTTTTGCAGGAATATTCTTGTAAATTTTATTTTTTTGTTCATCGACCTTCCATCTTGATTTACCACAAGTAGGACATGCTGCCATGTCTGTGTATTCGTTTCTGTAAAGTATACAGTTGTTGACACATGCATGTATCTTAGTATACCCTGAACCCATTGCCTTGAATGCTTTTTTGGCCTCGTATTTTACTACTGTACATTTTGTTACCTTCTGGTAACATATTTTTGATCAAAACCAATAATTTTGTAAAACACTTATCTGATACTCCATACTTACTCTTCAAGTTGAGTAGTTGTATGATTGCAGACAATTTTGTGAAATTAGGACACCCTTTATATAGGGGCTTCTCGGCATCTTCTATCAGTTCTCTAAACTTCTCAGGGTTCCTAATAAAATTTTCTTCTACAGCTTCAACCATCTCTACTGTTTCTGCAGCATCTGCTGGCATTTCTGTGTTCATGTTCGTGGAATCAACAACGTATGACGTTTCCCTGTCAAAATTATGTTCATATATATAATTTCTGGGTGGTTCCTCTGTTTCTCCATGCTTATTCCAATTCGTGTATTTTTGATCAATTCCATTCCTAAATAGGGGATCATCTACCACATCCACCAAATGAGATATGTGGTTTACAAACTTGACACATGGACATGGAATTCTTATCTTTTTTTTGGTATCTACAGGATCCATATTTTTAGAAATCTTGTAATTGTGTACTGGATATTTCAAAAATTCTGCAACACCCTTTACATACGTTTCTGATGTTCTATAGGCTCCCATCCAAGACTTATCCATATTCAGTTTACAACAGCATCAACAAGCAATATATGTTTCCTGTTCATTGAAGCATTTTAACAAACAGTTGGTGTGCATAAACGAAAAAGATCACATTACAAATAAATCCAATAACTGGAAACCAAATACTTGTTAATTCAAAAATATATAATGATACACATCATGACTAAACGAAATAGCAAAGATTCATATTATGAAGGTAATTGTTTTTTATGTCCCTGTATAAATTAATGTAGTATGTGTACCTGTATGAATTTCATGTTGAAGTATCAATTCCTGGTTGAAGTATAAACGTAGTTGCAATGCGTTTGTAGTAAGCAGAGAATGATTCGATGGGAATTCATATTGTCTAAAAATTCATATTTACGCAATAGGTGTGGATGATCAAGGATATATCGAGAAATAAAAAAAAAAAGAGAAAAAAATTGTTCCTAGTGGGGTTCGAACCCATGGTATTCCAAAATATACCTTTAACTACATGTACACTTACCAACTGAGGTGACTGACTGTCTGTAAGTTATTAGCTTACGAAAAAAACAAAACAATAAACTAAAAGAGAAACATTTGACGAAAATACCCCTACTTCCTCTAGAACTGATCTAAGACAAACACATTTAGCATCAATCATACTTTCCTCATTTGATACAATAAATGTAATTGTGGTTGCACATTGTTTTTAATTAGCCTTCACAATTTGAAATAAAACAAATGACGAAAATACCCCTGCTTCCTCTAGAACTGATCTAAGACAAACACATTTAACATCAATCATACTTTCCTCATTTGATACAATAAATGTAATTGTGGTTGCACATTGTTTCTAATTAGCCTTCACAATTTGAAATAGAAACAAATGACAAAAATACCCCTGCTTCCTCTTGAACTGATCTATGACAAACACAGTTAGCATCAATCATACTTTCGTCATTTGATACAATATACGTAATTGTGGTTGCACATTGTTTTTAATTAGCCTTCACAATTAGAAATAAAAACAAATGAAAAAAAAATACCCCTGATTCTTCTCACACTCTTTTTGTTTAATTGTAGTTATGCACATCATATATGTATCCAAGATTAACTTATTTTTTTTTCTATCAATACTATGATGATGCATACCCTTAGGTGATGTTTCCTTTTCTTTTCATTATATATACTGAATGACCATTATACCCTTATATCTCAAACACAGTTTCAATGGGAAATTATAACATTTTCTTTCTTTTATGATAATAACAAATAATTGACGGATATACCCCTGCTTTAGCATAATCTCCATATGTTGAAAACAACCATGGGACAAACTAACTCATCTAACCAATAACTTACATCTAAAGTGGAACTAAGTTGAAAAGTACATTGCTTTTTTTACAAAACAATGCAGCAAAACAGGGACAACACTGACTCAGTTATAAGTATGAAACACAATCAAAATTACAATATAAAATTATTATTATAATTACTTCCCATTTTGCCCCTAAGACAGTTATAATCAAAACAACATCATATTGCTTACAAAAAAGAGTTTCATATGTACTTTGTATTAAACACAAAATGGAGTACAACATAGGTCGCCTACACTATGTTTTTCCATGCAATCACATTCTCCTTGGCCATGTCCATTACATCTTCCTTTTTTTCTCTTGGAATGGTCATGTTTAACATATGCCTGATGTATGCTATTCCATCATCAACTGTTGCCATTGAGTGTTCTGTTACAAACAGATGAATAAGCTTCTCATCTCTTTTGGATGGTGAGCTCATCAAAAAGTGGGGGAAATTGATTGGAACAAATACAAGCATGTGTTCAACTTACAAATGTTCAATCTCTCGGAATTGGTGTGCCCTAACGATCATCTTGAAAGTTCCCAAACAATCATCATTCATAATTGGAATCAATGACAACCCACAGTTTTCTTCGGTTGGCATATGATACCAGTTACCCATAGTTGTATACCCCAAGCTTTTGGAAAAATGACCAAGCATCTCCATGTTGAGCAAATCGATGTTGACAAAAGAAATAAAGTTAACTTTTGTCTTTTGATATGACTTACCTGGATAGTCTGTAAAAAACCCGCCATGTACAACTCTAATGGTGAATCTCTTATCATTTGCTTTCCCGTACTCTACTAATGGTGTGTTTTTCGGTGGTTCACTGCTTACACTCCAGAGTTGGAACCTCGGATTTTCCCATGGATCAGCATTCATCTTTGTTTCCATTTATCGTCGGAGTTTTTTTCACAAAGGAGGAGCAAATAATCGAAGCTATCGTATGTTGGTAATGAAGATGTAAGAATGTCGATTTTGATATAAAGGGAGGCTTTAAATGGATCATGATTCGGAGCTGAAGGGACATCGACGCAGACCATCACTTCTGATTAATAGCAGGCTACAAGGGAGGTGCAATTTGAACGATTGCTGTGATAATGATTATCGATATTGTGTTATACATTAATATATTATTTACGTTAATATATATAATATTAATTAAGTGTAACATCCATACTTGCTTTGTTTTTATTATTACCATACAAAATATAAATTTATATATAAATTAATTATAAATATATAAAATAATTTTTTTAATTAATATGGGTATGGGTTGTAGGTGGTCGGGTGTTGGTACGGGTTGACCATTATTAGGTCATGTACGGGTGTTGGTAATGGTTTGGGACCAAAATGGGTTTATAATATGGGTATGGGTTGCAGGTGGTCGGGTGTTGGTACGGGTTGATCATTATTAGGTCATGTACGGGTGTTGGTAATGGTTTGGGACCAAAATGGGTTTATAATATGGGTATGGGTTGCAGGTGGTCGGGTATTGGTACATGTTGACCATTATTAGGTCATGTACGGGTGTTGGTAATGGTTTGGGACCAAACTGGGTTTATAATATGGGTATGGGTTGCAGGTGGTCGGGTGTTGGTAATGGTTGACCATTATTAGGTCATGTACGGGTGTTGGTAATGGTTTGGGACCAAAATAGGTTTATAATATGGGTATGGATTGCAGGTGGTCGGGTGTTGGTAATGGTTGACCATTATTAGGTCATGTACGGGTGTTGGTAATGGTTTGGGACCAAAATGGGTTTATAATATGGGTATGGATTGCAGGTGGTCGGGTATTGGTAATGGTTCACCATTATTAGGTCATGACGGGTGTTGGTAATGGTTTGGGACCAAAATGGGTTTATAATATGGGTATGGGTTGCAGGTGGTCGGGTGTTGGTACGGGTTGACCATTATTAGGTCATGTACGGGTGTTGGTAATGGTCTGGGACCAAATGGGTTTATAATATGGGTATGGGTTGCAGGTGGTCGGGTGTTGGTACGGGTTGACCATTATTAGGTCATGTACGGGTGTTGGTAATGGTTTGGGACCAAAATGGGTTTATAATATGGGTATGGGTTGCAGGTGGTCGGGTGTTGGTACGGGTTGACCATTATTAGGTCATGTACGGGTGTTGGTAATGGTTTGGGAACAAAATGGGTTTATAATATGGGTATGGGTTGCAGGTGGTCGGGTGTTGGTAATGGTTGACCATTATTAGGTAATGTACGGGTGTTGGTAATGGTTTGGGACCAAAATGGGTTTATAATATGGGTATGGGTTGCAGGTGGTCGGGTGTTGGTAATGGTTGACCATTATTAGGTCATGTACGGGTGTAGGTAATGGTTTGGGACCAAAATGGGTTTATAATATGGGTATGGGTTGCAGGTGGTCGGGTGTTGGTAATGGTTGACCATTATTAGGTCATGTACGGGTGTTGGTAATGGTTTGGGACCAAAATGGGTTTATAATAGGTGTACGGGTCCCATGTGGTCAGTTGGTGGTACGGGTTGATCGTTACAATGTCATGTAGGGGTGTTGGTACGAGTTTAGGACCGAAATGGGTTTATAGTAGGTGTACAGGTCCCATGTGGTCGGTTGGTGGTACGGGTTGATCGTTACAATGTCAGGTAGGGGTGTTGGTACGGGTTTAGGTCCGAAATGGGTTTATAGTAGGTGGACGGGTCCTATGTGGTCGGTTGGTGGTATGGGTTGATCGTTACAATGTCATGTAGGGGTGTTGGTACGGGTTTAGGACCGAAATGGGTTTATAGTAGGTGTACGGGTCCCCTGTGGTCGGTTAGTGGTACAGGTTGATCGTTACAATGTCAGGTAGGGGTGTTGGTACGAGTTTAGGACCGAAATGGGTTTATAGTAGGTGGACGGGTCCCATGTGGTCGGTTGGTGGTACGGGTTGATCGTTACGATGTCATGTAGGGGTGTTGGTACGGGTTTAGGACCGAAATGGGTTTATACTAGGTGGACAGGTCCCATGTGGTCGGTTGGTGGTACGGGTTGATCGTTACAATGTCATGTATGGGTGTTGGTACGGGTTACGACCGAAATGGGTTTATAGTAGGTGTACGGGTCCCATGTGGTCGGTTGGTGGTGCGGGTCGATCGTAATAATGTCATGTAAGGGTGTTGGTACGGGTTTAGGACCGAAATGGGTTTATAGTAGGTGGACGGGTCCCATGTGGTCGATTAGTGGTACGGGTTGATCGTTACAATGTCATGTAGGGGTGTTGGTACGAGTTTAGGACCGAAATGGGTTTATAGTAGGTGTATGGATTTTTTTTCTTACTTAATATAAAATAAAATAAAAAATCTTAACAAAGTGTTCACACGGAAAAATTAGTAAGCTAACTAGACCTTATTCTTATTTTCGTTTTATTATACTATTTTCCCATTGTATATACATAATTAAATGTTAAATATTTTTTATTTCCAATAGTGATATAGTTGTATCCTAACGTAAAATTGTTAATTTACAAGGACCAAATTTGTAACATTTCTATTAATATCAAATAACTCGTAATAATGTTTCAAAAGCCAGAACATGTTTCCAAACCACGATTTATGCTTCTCATCGTGTAGGTTCACTATCAGATCAAAATTTGGAAAAAATTTGAATTCGTCAATCAAAATTAAGCAAATATAATGGGAGGCAAATATTTTTTCCATTTTGTTTTGGGCTCCAAATCAAGGCGGGAATTATTCATCTATCTCACCGCCAAACTATGAAGATCAATCCATCAGATCAAGGAAATTCCGGTAAATTTGGTAACCACCCTCAATTTAGGACGTACTAATAATGTATTATTTAAAAAACTTTGATTTTTTCAACCATTGTATGGTTTTTCTCTAGGTTATATCCCAGTTGGATTATATTTCAGTTCATCATTCGACAACATTCATCACGCATTTCTACTGTAAGTATATTCTCTGTGTATGGTGTCAATGTAATTGATTGTATTGATTAGGGGATTATACATAAAACAAAAAAATTTTGATTCTTCATATTACTGTGCTTGTTGCACACCAAATGTTCGATGAAATGTGTATGTGAAATTTTGTATGTAATATAAGTTAGTCATACCTTTTTATTAAACATATAAATAATCAAACTTATTTCATATGTTTCATGTCAACAGAAGAATCATGGAGGTGAACAAGGAACATGTGACATCCCCAATTTCACGGCCAGAAAAGACCGGTTTGTTTATGCTTTATTTTAAAATCAGAGTAATCGTTTAAAGAAAACCGTTGCGGAATTTGTTCCCAAAACAAAATATGATAAGAATTTATCAAAGCATTTCTTAAAGAAATGTATTTTCATTATTTAACAAAATCACGGGATGTCATGTTCCGATACAGACCAAAAGCATAAACATTATAATACAGACCTTACAACAGTTATTTATAACTACTGGCCTATAATCCATTATCTCTCGTCACGTCAACCAACTTATGCTCTTGAGCCACTTCCTGTAATACAAAATAAACTGAGTGGGTCAGGCTTGGGAGCCTGGTGAGCATATAGGGTTTTCAACCCACAATAATATAATTATTATATTTAATCATCAAACAATCAATCCAATTACCCATTCCCATTATCTTCTTTATTTCTTAAGGTCTTACCCCAAGAATCCACTATCCTTCATTCATTCGTTCCTAATGATTGACCTAAGGAATTGGCACAAAGTCCATTGCTGCCCGAGGTTCGTCTACACAGTACTAAATCCATAGCTACCATGGTTTAACTATACAATACTAAATCCATAGCTACCAAGGTTCATCTACACAGTACTAAATTTATAGCTACCATTGTATTTATATAAGGCACTAAGTCCATAGCTGCCAGGGTTTTTATAGTACACCGGTGAACACATCGTTCACAACACCTACAAGTTGCGAGCTTGCTAGTGTTCCACTGGACTGTCTAGAATAGTCCGTGGTTGTCATCCCTACTCTGCTGAATGACGGGGGCCATCGTTTGGGTAAAGGTTTCACTCATTTTTTACCTGTCACCCTCATCTCATGATCTATATCATCTTTCGTCTCATCCTCAAACAAATCTTTCATCACTCACCAACTGTTTCATCTACCCATGTTTTACTCAACATATTTGTAGATATAAATTACATATATAGTTTAAATCATATACAAACATGTATAAAACATTAATCCAACATCCATCTCAAATAAACAAACAATATATAAACACATAACACGTATTTCATAGCAAATACTTCATATCTATATGTTAGAAGAAAGTAACTATACACTCACTTGATAAGACGATGATCGGACAACACCTCGTCTATTAAAACAATAATCTTCGATGAAACCGGGATGTTTTCTCCAAAACCGGGCTTTACGCGGGAAGAGTTTCGGCTCGGAAACTTTACTTCTCGGGATCCTCGGGGCTTCGGGACTTGCTTCGGGTTTCGGGATGATACCGGGGCTTCGGGGGTATTTCTTGCACACAAAACGAGGAAATACGGGAGAAAGAGAAGAATTTTGAGCAAAAAGATCGACAACCCTCGTCTTCTATTTATAGGGGCTGATCCCTGCGATTACGCTGGGCGTAACTTCAGAGTACGCTGGGCGTACTCCCTCTACAAGCAGTACGTTGGGCGTACTTCGGTTACGCTGGGCGTACTCTTCGGATAAGCTTTGGTATGCGTGCCTCGAACTTCAAAAATTCATAACTTTTGCATACAAACTCCGTTTTTGGCGTTCTTTATATCCACGCGTAGGTGAGATTATGCTCTATAACTTTCATTTAGACTCCGTCGGCTAATTTTGAATTTATTTTTATTATATTATTTTTAGTAGGCCGGGACAGGAAAACTCCGTTATAAAATCATAACTTCTTCATCTGACGTC